ATAGTTTGATTGACAGTAGCGTTTCAGCACAGACTGGACTGGCGTCTTACCTTAGCTCCGCCCTGAGTGACGTCACACAGACAGGCCCCTCCCACGATAGTTTGATTGACAGTAGTGTTTCAGCACAGACTGGACTGGTGTCTTATCTTAGCTCCGCCCTGAGTGACGTCACACAGACAGGCCCCTCCCACGATAGTTTGATTGACAGTAGTGTTTCAGCACAGACTGGACTGGTGTCTTATCTCCCTGAGTGCCTGAGTGACGTCACACAGACAGGCCCCTCCCACGATAGTTTGATTGACAGTAGTGTTTCAGCACAGACTGTCTTACCTTGTTTCTCCGCCGGAGCAGATGTAGACAAGAATGGCTCCTGAGCGATCGAGGTGTTCTGTTGTTGGATGTAATAATGAACAGCAGTCGTCATTTACTCCCGACATCTGAGCCGCTGAAGACGCAGTGGTTTACGTTTGTTTCTGAAGGGAATGCGCCCCCGATCTACATAAATGTGTTTATGTTCACGCGAATCATTCGTGATCCAGCTTCACCTCCAGAAGAAGTGAGTGTAAGCTTTTGTAATGAATCTTTGCAAATCGCCTTTCCTAATAATGTGCTAATTAGCAAGTTTCACGATGAATAAAGTAAACAGTCCCTCTGAGAGCGGCTTGGAAGAGAGGGGCGGAGTCAGCAGAGCTCATTAACATTTAAAGGGAAATGCTACAAAAACGGCTTGCTCTGAAAAGAGCTGTGTTTGACAGGGGAAAAGAAAAGGTGTTTTTTACACTACCATTGAGAAATTTTAACCAAACTTTGTTACATACTTTTCATTAAGACCCTAAAGAATCATATCAACTTGTGGAAAATGTGCATCCTATGACCCCTTTAAAAAGCAGATAAACACAGTTTAAGTCTCAAAGTAGTGTGGGCTTTGAGATTTCAAGCTGTCAATAACTTTTGCCACAGAAAAAAAATGTATGCAGAAGTATATACATACGGTCACAAAGGTGTAGTTGTTTAAAGAATTAAATCAGGAACCACTTTTCTAAATTCAGCCCATGGCGTTTTAGTCTTATTTTGCTGACGTTTGTCTCTCATGTCCACAGATTCAGAGAGGCATCGCGTATGAGAAGACCGCTGCAGAGGTGTCATGCTGGCGGAACATCATATTGCAGAACCAGAAGGCCGAACAAATGGTGTTTCCTCTGAACCAGGAGTCCTCGGGACCTAAACGGGTCGAGCAGGTTGTGGCTGGATGGAAGGTGTGCTTTGTTTTTGTTTTGTTTCTGAAGGGCTCGGTTTGTCATTTTCTTGCGGTGCATGATTAGATGTTATAGCTAGACAGTTGAATATTTTCCTTTACCAACGCCCTTTACAACACTTTTGCATGTAATACGCTATATGTTGCAGATTTTTCAAAATCACATTTTTTTGCCTAGTCAGAAATCATTACTAGTCTATGATTCGTTGATGCTCCACGGCCTGCGTTTTGCTCCTGGATTGCATGTTTTTTCCTCATAGTTTATAGAATTATAGTAGTGTAGTTACACGATGGTTAAGTCACTAAAATTATTGTTGAAATATTAATGGAGTTCAGGCGTACGTTAAACTGCACTTTAGCTTTATTCACTCCATCTTCAATATACATTTTATCGACGTCCCGGGGCTATTTAAACATTCAAGTGTTTTAAACCATTCACGTGCATTCGGAGCTGCGCACCTCTTTTGCATATCCTTGCATCTGAATGAACACGCACACAAAATTATCTCAAAATAACGGTCTCTGCAAGTATTCTCGTGAACACAGTCGGTTATGTCTTAAGTGAACGTAAACAGTGGAGAAAGAAATCTCAAGTCCATTGTTATATTGGATCCGTGCATTCATCCTATAAATACCTGCTGCTCCATAAGCGCCACCTGCTGTCAGAGAGTGACATTTGCATCTCATTCACAAAGCTAAAATCAAGCCATTCTGTTTTTGCTTCAGATTTCGAAATTATGCAATCTAATTGCAATCTAAATAACATGTATTTAGCATCTTTGTTTGGATCATGATTAAAATGCAGTGGTTGCCTCTGATTTTAAATGGAAAAAGCACAGCCAAAGCCTTAGTTTGTTTATTTGAAGAGATTTATTTTATTTGTATTATTTAATTATTTGCTTTGGGATTTGTTTTGAAATTTCAATTTAGTTTTATGATTTGACATATTACAATTTCACAAAGAAATGTGCAGCATTTTGTTGGAGAAATAATAAAAGGACACCTTTTCATTTATAATTTGTCTTAATAAAAATTGTGAGATTGTATTGTGAAATCAGTATCGTGCATCGCGTCGTGAGTTGAGTGAATCGTTACATCCCTATATACCAGTTTTTGCTGTGGTGTCAAAGAAGTATTCTGTTATTTAAATAATAAAGAACCATTCTGAAGAATGTCTGCCCGAAGGGCTACCAGCAATTTAGAAACTTTGCGAGCCCTGTTTATTCTTAATATACATCATAACCATTTTAGAAATCACTATCTATAGGCATCTTCAATGCATTTTTACAACTTTGAACTGCTTTTTTAAATGCAGCTATGGTTGATGTGTAAAAACTCAACCATATGTTAGCTGCAAATGTCAGCCATATTGACCAATTTTACCAATATAAATATTTTTACTGCTGTTTCAGTTTTATATCCAGGTTTATGAAAAGGAACACAATGTATTGTCACCTTTGCTTGTTCATTAGTGTTTCTGTTTATGCTACATTGTTCTTCATAAAACTGCTTAAACTTTTAATTGAATAGTGTGCAAACATTGAAAAGTGCCTAAAATTTCTAAAATATTCTCTGGCCTTTTGTTTTCAAGCAGTCTAAATGCACACGCTCATGTTAGCCTACATCAAATGTACTCATAATTTCTCCTCTTCGTTTTGTCTAATACATTTATTCATTTATTTGTGGTTTCTTTTCCTCTGACTGTACAAAGATTCAGTGATGCAGAGAATTACTCTTTACTGAACAATTATGTTGCTGTTTCAGTTTTATATCCAGGTTTATGAAAAGGAACACAATGTATTGTCACCTTTGCTTGTTCATTAGTGTTTCTGTTTATGCTACATTGTTCTTCATAAAACTGCTTAAACTTTTAATTGAATAGTGTGCAAACATTGAAAAGTGCCTAAAATTTCTAAAATATTCTCTGGCCTTTTGTTTTCAAGCAGTCTAAATGCACACGCTCATGTTAGCCTACATCAAATGTACTCATAATTTCTCCTCTTCGTTTTGTCTAATTCATTGTTACATTTATTTGTGGTTTCTTTTCCTCTGACTGTACAAAGATTCAGTGATGCAGAGAATTACTCTTTACTGAAATTATTCACAATTATGTCCTCAAACGAGATTCTCTCACTCACTCTCTCACTCTCTCACTCATACACTCACTCTCTCACTCACGCACGCATGCACACAACACTCTCTCTCACTCATACACTCCCTCTCACTCACACACACATACACTCACTCTCTCACTCGCTCTCACTCTCTCACTCACTCTCTCACTCACACATACACTCACTCTCTCACTCACTCACACACACTCTCTCACTCACACATACACTCACTCTCTCACTCACACACACACATACACTCGCTCTCACTCTCTCACTCACACATACACTCACACTCTCACTCACTCAC